TATAATATAAATTATTTATCAAAAATCTAAAATATAATTTATATATTTAAAATTTCTATTTATGTAAATTTAAAATATTATTTATATATTCAAATATATTATTTATTTGTATATAATTTAATATAAATTTTAGTACATATAATAAATATTTAACTTATGCAATATTAGTCATATATAAAATTAATTTGGGGTACAATATGAAACAATTTTTATTTTTTTTACTTTTAAGTTTGCATCAGCAATGTAAAACGCAATATCACACAACACAAAATTTCGAAGTTTGATTATCCTCATAAATGTTAAGTTTCGTTATTTATTTATTTTTTCAAATTTTGGAACAATTTAGAATAGATAATTTATCTTCATAACTCATAACTACTACCACATGACCTTTACTTGATAGTTGATGGCTAGAATTTGAATCCAATCATCATTCCATCAGCTTGCTTAATTTACAGTGACATACTCCTAAAGGAAATCCCCTGCCTTATTTGATTATACCAAAGTAAATTTAGCTAATCAAAAGCCATAGTAGAAAAATAATAATAAATCTTTTTCTATTAAGTTTACTACATTAATATTCTACTATAAATTATATTAACCTCCTCTAAATCATTTATACTAATTTAATTAGTTTAAAGTTTTTAGTTTTTATAGTCTCTCCTAAGGATGGCAATGGAGCCCATAGGAGCGGGTAGTAGTAAATCTGTCCCCGTCTTGCTAGATAAAAATTGACTCCATATTCACCCTATATTTACGTGTGTATCCATTAAGCGGGTATCTATGAATTTCTTAAATACTCACAGATATCTATGAATATTTATAAATTTTTTAAGAAATTAAAAAAATATATTATAAATAATTTTAAGTTTATATTTAATGGTATTGAAATATTAAAAATAAAAATTCAGTGTTAATTTTAAACTTGTATTTAATGTTAATTTTGTTGAAATAAATAAAAATGCAAGATAATCAATAACTTAAAATACATCAATCTCACAAGTAAGTTAAAGTCTTGTCACAAAGCTACAATAATTCAATCTCATAATTCCAAACGAAAATAAATAACTTAAAATACATAAATCTTATTAGTCCAATTAAAGCTAGAAAATTAATCAAATTACATCCAACATAATTCTATAACATGCTTAACACATGTTGATAACTTCATCAACCTCACATTAGAGTTATGTGGTACAAGAATAATTAGGATATTTAAGAATTATTATTAAACAGATACCCGTGGGTATGAATATCATCATACTCGCCTTTGGCCCATTTATAAACGGGTAAAAAATTATTCATCCCCATTATCTACGGGTACCCAATTAGCTTATTCATTTATTATTCATAGCGAATTTTACCCACAGATACTCGCAAGTACGAATATTTTTGCCATCCCTCTCTCCCCACCTCTAGCAATAGAATTACCCTCCATCTGATCCACATTCCTTATTGAGACTGAAATTTCAGAATTATACAATTTATCACATTGCGAACTCGAGGTGTTTCTTTTTTCCCGTATAGGAAAGTAATAAGAAAAAGGGTAAAATGTTTGTGATTCTTCACAATATTTTGAAATGTTAGTTTTACTATCATAAAAAATAAATAAAAAATTATCCACTTTTAGTGCCAATATTTACCAAAAACTAGTTGTAGTCCGACATTAGTGTCTAACAACACATTCTCTTGTTACAAGGATAACAACGAATATAAATTTTAGAGACTACAACCAATATTTAAAAATATTTTGTGACCAAAATTATATTTTATCTTAAGAGAAAAAAAAAAAAAAAAACTGGAACCAAAGTCTCATTGATTTAATGATTTTATTTATCTATTCAACTAGTGTAATGTACATGATAATTATTTATTTTATATAATTAAATTATAATAAATAAATAAATATTATTATGTATATTATATTATAATTAAAATTTATAATAAATAAATAATTTTAAACATATAAATTACATTTTAAATTTATGATTAATTTATATTGTGACACAATTATTTTAACTATTGATAATTCTTTTTTTTATATATAAATAAATTAATATGAAAATGATATATTTAAAGAGATAAGAGATAAAAAAAAACATTAAAATAAATATAAAATGATATATTTTCAAATAGAAAAGTGATAAAAAAAAACCGAAGATAAAACATTTTTCTTTTTGATATTCAATTAGTATTATTTTTGTTAGATAAGAAGGTGTAACTCCTTATTAGGTCGACCCAGTAAAGAAATAATCAGTTACTATTTGTTGAGTAATTGATTGTTTATCTGAAATAAAACTAATATCCGACGGTTGTACAATAAGAGAGCAAAGTTCACCTCATATTTAAATGAAAATGAACGTAAGAGCATGAAAAAAGTGGAGCATTTATAAAGTAGATAATTATTCTAATCTATAAATATAGATTGATATCATAATTTTATACATTAACAAACGATTATTCTTTCATATACCAGAAAAAACAAATTTCTCTGGAGTTTGGACTTTATTGATCACTTGGCAGTTTCACTAGTAAATCCAAAACAAGCCTAAAGACTATGCCCCAGATCCAGCAAGTCGCCTCTTTGAGGCATTTGATACAGCCAATTGACCTAGTTTGTCAGTGTTACTTGATACAGTCCTTTCCCTGATTGGTGTGTAATGCCTCAACCACTCCCCAACATAAACCTGGAACATGAAATAGGTATAGGTCATGGCTAAAACCAGTCATAATCAGAGTATATCTCAAAGAACAAAAACCTGTAAAAATAGTTGCCCTAGGCCAGTTCAAAATGTTGATTCATATTAACCAAGGATGATTATGTCAATGAGGAGTGTTAACATCACACTTCTAACACACTCCTCATAACATACTCTCTTATTAGTTAAAATTCATTGAAAACTACAAGCTTAGGGAAGTCATTAAATAGGATATGGAACCCAACAAATTTTGTGAATTCCAATAAATTTTAACCAATCAGAAGTAGTATGTCGGAGAGTTTGTTCCTATGCAATATTATATTAGTAATGAATTTAAAGAAAGGAAATAACCTGTTGAGGTCTCATAATCTTTGTATCAGGATCATCCAAGGACTCTCGCCAATGTGCCAAGTACCCAGCCATTCGAGGGATGGCAAATAAGACAGTGAAATACTCAGGTGGAAACCCCATGGCCCTGATTGCATAAAACTATCAGCTTAATACTAGGGATAGGAATGTTAGTGAAACTCTTTCAAACACTATTAGTGACAGAAACTTATTGAAAATCACAAATTTTATGTCTTGTATATCTCATTTAATGAGCATCTCTTCTGATTTAGTAATAAGACTTGTCAAAATTTGTGATTTTTATCTGATAATAAAGAGTATTAGTAAATGAGTGTTAGAGATAGTGTCACTAACATTTATAATCTAGGTGGAGTAACATGTTATCCTCCCTGGTTACAGAAACTGAATGTAATATTAGGTTACCTATAAATCAATCCAGAGTAGAAATCAACATTTGGATATAGCTTCCTCTTGATGAAATACTCATCAGACAGTGCAACCTTCTCTAAGGCTACTGCAACCTGAACAACCAAATAATTTCAGATGAAACTTCCAAGTTCAAACTAGATATGTTGAACTGAGTTGACGTTGCATTAAGCATAAGAATTTTTCCTTTAACAAGTTCAAAGAACTTGACTGAATATAGTTGAACTAAATCCAAATACTTATACATATATTCATTATATGTAAAAACCGCACCAAAATATTCTGTAACAAAATTTTTTTAAAAAAAGTCTCAAAATAATACATATAGAAAATTTTTCAAATATAGTATCTTGATATTGTATTCTTAGGCCTCGTGAACAGCATATCCTAAGCAGTACAAAAGAGGGAGTACAAATTGGATACCTCTATAAGAGGATCCCGGCCAACAATGGAAAATACTTCCTCTGTCAACTTTCTCAAGACCTTTGCTCTGGGATCATAATTTTTGTACACACGATGTCCAAAACCACTGAGCTTTCGTTTCCTGGAGAAAAAGCATCAGACAATTATATCAAATAAAATTATCATTTTCCTTGCTTGCTGTGGATAAATTATTAGGCAGTCTTAAACCACATAATCCCTACTAATATAAAAGTCTGTTCAGATACAAGGTAGAAGCACTTTTAAGAACTTTTCTACTGGAAATAAAAAGTATTTTTTAGTTGAGAAACTCTCAAGGTGTCTCCAAATAGGTTCTATATATGACATGTAATCAAGTATAATTAATTTTCTTATAAGTTGAAAAAACTTAAATGACACTTGGTAGTCCTAAATTACCAAATAATTTCTTGCTTTGAAGAGACCCAAAAAATAGGAGGCACAAAAGAGCAAGTCATCACACCATCACCAATTTTGACATGTATGGAATAATGGAAAACACAAACCTAGAAGAAAAACAAGAAAAAGTAATAGCCACCTGGCTTTAACACCCTCAATGAATGCTGGAATGTTCTCAACAGTTCCAATTTCACTCAGCATTTTGAGAACAGCCTGCATAATCAAAGGTTACATTAGCATTGTCCCACAAGTATAAACAATGGTTAAATTTTTGCTTTGTTTCCTTTCCATATTTAAATAACCAATAGAAAAATAATCATGAGAGCATACTAAGTCATTTACATTACCTCATTGGCTCCACCATGAAGAGGTCCATATAGAGCTCCAACAGCACCAGCAATAGCAGTATATACATCAACACCACTGCAAATAAGGTTACATAATATAAGACAGGTTGCTTCATTTTGCTTTGAAAATTGCTACTTAGAACTTGTTTGGATACAAGCTAGAAGTACGTTTGAAAGTTTCTCTACTAAAAAATGCAAACTCTACTGGAAAATACTTCGTATTTTCAGTAGAAAAACTCTTAACAGTACTTCTAAGCTTACATCCAGACAGACTCTTAGACCAAAATGTGTTTGTTTAAAAGCAGTGGAAGCAGACTCAGTAAGTTTGATTAGCAGGACTCTCTTGCTTATGTAGTAAGATGTCTACCTCGATGAGAGGTGACGTACGGTGGATGTAGAGCAATTCATTTCATGTTCTGCATGCAGGATGAAGATAATGTCCAGTGCTCGAGTTAGCCGAGGATTAGGTTTATATGATCTATTGCCACTGAAAACATGAATAGTGGAAATTTTATTTGAGTAAAACATATATTCTCACACAATAACAAAAATAAGCTAGCATGTTGTTAACATTCTACCATCAAAGATGAAATCAAAATTCGCACCATGAAAAAAAATACTATTTTTTCTGGTGAGTAAATCATACTACATTTGAAAAGATTCATATATTTTTTTTAATCTGAGGAAAAGAATAAAGAAAACCATCATTAAGCTCAGAAGAAAAGATAACTTCAAACACAAAAAAGTTCAGGTTATTCCAAATATCAATCAGACTTGATACAGTAAGACATACAAAGAGTCTAGCATGTAAAGGAAGTTCTCTGTGTAAGAAAGTTTGTTGGATGGAAGCACAGGTGGCCTTCCTGCCAATCTAAGATTAATCGCAGCAGCAATTGTTGTTATCTGCAGTCAAAGTAGAAAATGATGATGAAAAAAACAGTTAGACAGATTGCAAATAAGCAAGTAATTGCTTGAATACTGCAAAAAAATTCAGAAGATAACCAATAAGCAAGCAATATGCATTCAGAATAATTGATATATAAGCAAACCTTTCCAATAATCCGAGCTATTTGCTTGTCTCTCACTTGCTTTGAGTTGTATATATCAACACCCTACATTAAAATATAAAAAGTATTGAAAGAAATAATCAAAGCTGAATCATATACGAGAAGGCAATAACATGTTGAATCCTAATAAATAATAGGGTACTACTCTGCAGTCACATGTATATTGAACTAAGACAAAGGAAAATGTAATATCCCATGAGAATCACTTATCAAAGTAATGAAAAGCATAAAATCTAAAATAGAGGAAGGCAGGTAGTATCAACAAACGGTAAGTCTGGGTCTACCAATTTTTTCAATATAACAACTAAGAATTATTTGATGGTGACAGCAGTAATTGATTGAAAAAGAAATCCTCATTATTTTCAAAAATGAACAATTTAACAGAATCTAGTAAATACTTTAGAAATTAACTGGAAAATAATCATCTATTTTTCCTTTTTTCAATTAAGTATATCAAAGCTGAGATAAAACATGGTTCAAACTTTAAAAAATAACATGCAGTTATTTATATTACTTGTCTCATTATACACTTAAATAGTGCAATCATCTTAAGCAATAGCCACCAACTCGCACCTTCAAATAACTTGCAGCAAAATAACATTAATTCCTATATTGTTACAAGATTTCTGAGTTCTAACTTCTAATTTGAAACTAAAATTTCACAGATTCATTTTTGTAGACATCTAAATCTTTAGGGATTCCCATAATATTAAGAGTCTGTTAGAATATGTAGAGGGATGTCTCATAATATCATAGTTACATATTTAGAATAGTTTATTAAAACAAGAGAATATTATTCAGAATCACTCTTCTCTCTGTTCCTCCTTACCTTCCTAAATCCCTTTAATCTCAACAGAATCAAAGTTCATTGATGTATGTAACACAAAAAGTCAAATGAAACAAGAGCTAAAAGAATTGCAAAAAATAGAAATTTGAGAAAAATAAGAGAAGTTCTACAAAATAAAGTTAAGAACATATTTCCATCACAAAAGTAATGTTTGCAAAGTTCCATGTAATATTATCATCGTATATGCATCCTTGCTGAGCAGATCAAAAGTTCAGTAACTTGAACTTGACCACAGTTTGTGTTACTTACTCTGAGAGCCGGATTTGCATCGGGATGAAAAACAGACAAAGCGCTCATGGCATTAACAAGCATACCCATAGGATGTGCATCATGAGGCATTGATTGTATGATATCCTACAAAACAAATGTATACCACTAATGTTAGATTAATACACTTGTACTTCTCGGAAAAAAAAATTAACAACCAGATTACTCTCCTCTAAATGATCATGACAAAAGAACTCTGTAGAGTGATTGCTCAAGAAACTCAGGCTTATAAATTAGAACATAAACCAGCTGGTAAAAGAGGCATATACACAACATAAAAATGAACAACAATAATACCAATACATGAGCCACCCCTAACATTTATTGGCCAACCATTAAGCGAGATAACAAAGTGCATTTTCACCTTAAAAACATCGCTAACTCACCTCTTCAAGAGTCAAGACAATAGAGGTATACAATAACCAAGTAAGAGTTCATGTTGTTTGAACTATTTTATGAGTATGAGTATGTGAATGTACTTGCTGCTTAATTGGTATACTCTGATTGATTACTTTAGCTTTTAAGCACTAGTCCTTTATAAATTCTAACCAATAAATAAATAAATAAAAATAAAAAAGCGCTACCACATTTTTCTAACAATATAAAATACAATTGGTATATTAAATTTGAAGCAATAATACAACAGATGTAATTTGCTTTCTAATCTAAAAATGGTCACTGACTGAAACCAGAAGGTTATCAGATAGGAATCTGGGTCCTTAAATCCATATTAAGTCATTTTATAGAAATAAAAAGCTCACCAAAACTCCTTGTGGTACAGCTGAATGCTGAGATATGGTGAACTCCCATTCCGCTAACTGACTTTCAGAAGGCAAATTTCCATACACTAAAGAGACAGAGAAAGGCAGAGTTAATAAACACTGAAGGCATGTATGTTATGCATAAAATGAAGCCTGTAATTAACAGGATCCATAAATAAGGACCTTAAACCTGCCTAAAGTGTATGCATCATTGCGGTATCTCGGCTAATCTTCAGTAAAAAGAAAAGGCATACACTTATCATAAACAAGGGCCACAAAAGTTCCATGCACATGCTAGAAAATTTCTAAAAATACTCACGTATGAGATATGCCACTTCCATAAAGGTGCTTTTCTCCGCCAATTCCTCAATCGGGTATCCTCTATATCTAAGGATTCCCTCATCACCATCAATGTAAGAAATCCTTGATATGACAGGAGCAGTGTTTAAATAGCCAGGATCATAAAGTTTGAGTCCCTTGTCATTCTTTCCAGTTGATATCTACAAATCAAAAAATAGAAAAAACCCATAATCAAATACTAAAAACAACATTTAAATACACAATCATCATTTTAATTAATTACAAACCACCCCACCTACGAAATTGTATGGGCCAGTCAATTTGGTCTTTAACATTAATGAAATACTAGGATTATAGTACACTGACCTGCGTGCAAGAAGAAACAAACCAAGGAGCAAGCAATCACTTCCACGTGAACAGAACATGAAGTTCTGATCAAATATCCAAGTTCACTCACAAAAAACTAAAAACCTAATCCAAAATTCAGAAGGGAACCCCAAAAGCAGGACACAAGCTGAAATATGATCAAAGCTTATGTTCAAAGGTTCAGGTTCAGTCAATGCAGAAGTGAATGCTAACCCCTTGTTCACATGTTAGATCGCCATAATCCCCACTCTCTACCACATACTGAAAGTTTTTATTTTATTTCTTAGACCTTGAATATATATGCCTTTAGAATTGGAAATTTTGAAGAAACGTATTTTTTCTTTTTCTTTAACTGTTGCTGTAGAGAGGAGCGTGGTGTGAATTGTGGAGACAAAGGTTAAAAGTGGTTTTTAAATTGTGAAGACAGAGAGGAGGAGTCAGTTTCGTCAAAATTGTTCATTTGATTTGCGGTCAATTTGGTCCCTCGACATTGCAGGCGTGTGTCAACTTAGTTGGATGTCACAAAAGGCAGTTGATGTGCCAATTCATTCCTAATGAAATTGAAACTAACCATAGATTGAGCGAAAGGTGCTTTCAATTGGCTAGAATTCGTTACTTGATTGAAACTAATTCTCCTAATGGAATCATTGAATATTTGATGATACATTTTGTACCAAGCTAAAAAACTGATCCTTGTTTACCAACCACACATTGTCTAACCAGATCAAACTCTCTCTCAACATATTCCACAAAAATCTGATACGTGCGGATTCTTCCTCCAATTAACAAATCTTAACGTTATTGCCACATATGAAATTGAGCACAATTTTGCAAAGAAATAGACCACTTGTTTCTCAAGAAGAGATTGGAAACATGCTCAATATCATTTATTAAAAAGTTGACCCACCCTTTCTAACAACCTTTAATGACAACAGCTAACAAAGAGATTAAATTGACTGTCGATCTACAACTTCAGTTATCATTTTGCCATTTCATTAATGCTAGGAACCAAGTTGGTGACTCACTCACTCCAAACAATTCAACCAAGCACAAAGGAGCAAAATTGAGCACAACCCACTTCACCAAATTCGAACCCCTTTCAAGGGTCAAGTTCACAAACGAAAATCCATCGACAAAACACAACTTTCTCGTAACAAAATAACCACACCACAAACGCTAATTCCAAAAAAAAAAAAAAAAAAAAAAAAAAAAAAAAAAAGGAACCAACACCAACAACTCCAAACGATTGAACGAACACGAAAGGATCAAAATTGACGAAGACCCACTTCACGAAATCGGAAAAGGAGAAGGAATCAGAAGAAGTACCTTCTTGAAGTCAGAGGCTCTAACAGTGCCTTCTGGGGAGACTTGGATCCGGTACCTCTCGCCGGTCCTGTCATCGACGACGGAGAGGGTGCCCTTCAGGTTCGGCGGAGGCGAGGCTCCGGCGGCGGCGGAGAGGCGGAGAGGGTGGAGGATCGCGGCGGAGGTGGCGTCGGAGGGAAGTAAGTGCGCTGCGAGAGTGGCCAAACGGTTGCGTGCAGTGTGTTCGGAAGTTGTTGACATGGTTATGGTGTGTGTGTGTGTGTTGATGCTTCTTCGTAGGATGTGGAATTTGAATGATTAAAGTGAAGGGATCCAAAGGATTGGATATGCGAATGAATTTGGAGATCACAGTTGAATCGGAAGTTTGAAGAAGATTGTTCAGACTTTCACAATTTCACATCATGCACGTGTTTCATATTTCTAATTTTCTTTTTCTACATTTTAGGACTTTGTTTATTTTTAGTTGTTAATTATTAAGCTATAATTTATATTAATAATCTATAATTTACAACATTGCTAAAGAAAATGTCTTGTTTTTTATATCCACTTTTTTTTTAAGATTCCTTTACTCTTAAAAGATATATAAAATTATCTTATTGTTTTTTACAAATTATATATAAATTTATAACCATGTTTTCAAGCAATATTTTTTTAAAAGTAAGTAGATGGTGGGTTTTATTGATTTTTATTTTTTTAATAATTGCAATAATCACATTTGAAAAAATATCATTATTGTTCATTTTATTTATTTTTCTCTTATTATTTGAATAAAATTTATACGAACATAAAGTGTTCCAATCTTATTAATATTTAATAAAGTAAGAATGGTGCTAAAAACATTTTCTTTATAGTATTTATAACAACTTTTATATGTATGTATTAAATTTTATCGATAATTATACTTTTTAAAGAAATTTGATGGATGAGAAGTGTAATTTGTTAATAGGATGTTATTGAAATATATATCTATTATCTATTATAAAATGGATACTAAGATATGTAACCATTTTTTATCTCTACTTTTTAGTGGACCATTATATTTCTTGATATAAAAAAAAAAAAAAAACTTCTTATATCTTATCTGAATAATTACACATAATTTTCTAATATTTCGTCTGTCTATAACTATTACATAAATGAAGTGCATCAATCCTTCTAATTTTTTATAAAGTAAATCAACAAGTGTTTTTTAGCAAGGTTTGAATTGAAGTATTGTATATGAAAAAAAAATGTGATTTAGAAGAGACTCATTAAAGTGGTTAAATCAATGAATACTTTGAATCAATAACATGATTAAAAAAATCTAATATATTTATAACAATAGAATCCTAACTGATGTATGTGTTACTATTATTATTTTTTTTTGGATAAATCAAGAATTACACCAAGAAAATTATCACCATGAAAAATTATAAAATTCCAAAGGTTAAAATATATTTTTGATTCCTCTACGATATTACATTCACAATTTTGGTCCTTTTATTTTTAAATTCGTAATTTTAATCTCTCAATTTTATAAAATCATTGAATGTTCATCCGTTGACAACTAAAATTGTAACACTTGTTGTGACAAAAAAAAATATATAGATGACACAATTAATATTTAAGGTAAATTGTATTTTTAATTCTCATTTTCATCTCATTTTACCATTTCTATAATATAAAATTGAGAATTAAAAATAAAATTTAACTTGAATATTATTAAACACTAATTGTTATGTCAACCTCAATATTATTAAACATTAATTGTTATGTCATATACTTAATGTCAAATCATTACTAACATTACAATTTTAATGATCAACAGGTGAAATTTAACAAGGGGACCAAAATTACAAATTTTATAAAATTGAAATACTAAAATTGCATATTAAAAAATAGAGAAACCAAAATTGTGAATTTGATAAAATAAATGGATTAAAAGTACAATTTAGTCAATTCCTAACTAATGAATGTGCTACTAAATTAATCAGTCTCCTTCCATATCTATATTTATATTCTACATCTTATATATTATTAAAGATAGAATAGTCTCAAATTTTTTGGCTCCAGACTACACAATTTGGATTCACTTAGTTTCTGAAACTCCTATGCCTTTTAGAATTCAAGTATTTTCTATTAATTATAAAACTAAATTAGTCTTTAATAAATTTAATGATGTCAATTAAGGACACCACAATTTTAATATTTTTAATGCTAGTTATGTAATTTCAATGATTTTTATTTGATTTTTTTTTTTGTGTAGATTTTATGAGTCTTTTATCAGTCCATAAATAATCTCTATTTCACTTTGTGTTCTCTTCCTTCGCCTACTAATGTGGTCCTTTTCATAGAATCAAATTTTTGTTCAATTTTTTTTATGCTCTTTGTAGATGGTGGATTGATAGTGACGAAACTTAGTAATGGATTAAAAGGATGTACATGACTAAGACAAAATTTGAGTATTCTCATCTTCTCATATTTTCTCATCCTAAAAAGTTTATCATAAACACTATTTTCATGATTCAATATATTCTCCACATGACTCTATGTGAATTGCGTTATTAATAAGTATTCAACTTCTCATCATCTGTTGTCCAATTTCCATCCTACACTTTGTTCAGTGTTAAGAAGATGGTAAGTACATTTTTTCCTTTCATTTTTATTTTCTCATTGTGACACCATCTACCCTACATGTGACAATGAGCATAATAATATAATATTTTAAAAGAACTAAATTTATGAATAGAAAATCAATTGAATACAATCAAGTTTGAAAGAGGGGTATCACATAACAACTAGAGAAAAACGTTACTCCAACATGAATGTCTAATGAAAAATAAATAACATAAAATAAAATACAATATCAAATCCTAAACATAACTAAACATCATAAATTCAAATCCTAGCTACACCCTGATGGCACATTTTATCATAGTATAAATCTCAACATAAGGTTTAGACCTTATCACTAGCATCATCAACATTGTGATGATCCTTACCTGCAACAAGATACACACAAAACATACAACAAGAAACGAGGAGTGAGAATCATCTCACTTTGGTTTGTGACATAAAACATAGTCGGTTAACCAAACACATATCAACAAGATATAAGTACAAAAGGTTATAGTAATAACAAGATATAGAAAAAGACAACATGTAGTAACAACAAGATATAACTCAACATGTTTAATCACAAAGTCACAATGTGCTTGATCACACAATTCCACATTTAATACATAATGCAATGAACATGGACTCAATAAGCACATGCATGTGGCGCCAATAAAAATCACATTGATTTACCTCTTGCTCGAAGGTACATGAGAGTATACTAGAAGAACATGCAAGGTCACTTTACCTTGTTCATCTAACTTGTTTTTGAAAATCCATTTAGTTTGAATAATACTTTAATGTTTAAGCCTTGGAACAAGTTGTCAAACATCATTTTTCTCAAACTGATGAAGTTCTTCTTGCATATCTAAAATCTAGTCATTATCTTTAAGAGCTTTGTCGATTATCTTTGGCTTGATTTATGAAACTAGGGCATAGGAGGCATTGTGTCTAAGGTAGATCTTGTTCTAATTTCATCAATATTATATTATCTCCCAATATTTGATCTTGAGAATGATAGTTGACAAACTTTCAATCTTTGTGAGATCTAGATGCATCACTTGATTGATTCATTTGACCTTTAGTCTCAACAATCATCTGCTCCTTTGTGTTTTTCCCAACGATCTTCACAAGTTCAATTTGTAAATCTACAAATTCATCTTCTAGATTTGATAGTTTTCTATCAATGTTAAAACATCGTTAAACTTGACATGGATTGATTCTTCAACTACAGAGGTTTTAAAGTAAAAAACTTTGTATGCCTTTGAAGTTCAAGAATATCTAAGAAAAATACCCTTGTCCATTTTGAAATCAAACTTTCTAAGTTGATCCTTAGTGTTAGGGATATAACATTCACATCTAAATAGATGGAACTATCATATGTTGGGTCTTCTTCTCTGCCATAATTCATAGGGAGTTCGAAATGATATATTGTATAAATATGATATGTTGTAAATAGCAATGAGATGTATAAATCCTTGATTTGTATAGTAACTATATGAACAATAATATCTAATTATTTATTTTTAAATTTTCATCTTGAACTCTCAATTTGTTGCAATGAAAGAAGAAAAAAATTAACGATGATGACATATCACCAAAAAACTTGTAATGGCTAATAAATAGATGTTTTCAACTTGATTTGAAGATTTTAGTAGAATATAAGAGATCGCGATTAAGAGAATAGAGAGAGAATTAATAGATTATATATATATATATATATATATATATATACATATATTAAAA